GCAAGAAAAAAGAAAGTGAAGGGCGCTGACCAGGGCTCAAACCTCGGCCTGACTTCAGTCGCTGGATTTGAAGACGAACTTGTTTATATCCACTTGCCCATCTCAACATTCCTGCATTGATCAATGCCAAGAAACGTTCTATATAGCTGGGGTGTTACTGCTGGCCATCTGAAAATGACATGTTGTCGCCAGTTGTTTTTGGATGTTGTTGATCGCTTGCCAGATGGGATGTGTACTGTATTGTTTGTTGATAAACAGAGTGAATTTGGTTGGAAATACCGAAAAATTTTAGAATTTCAGGAGTGCAAATTATTTTCAAGGTATTCCCCCATTACGGTCATTGTGGGTGCAATGAGTTTAAAGCTCCTCAGCTCAAGGCAGCCATTGTGGATTTTGTCTTCCTGCTTTTGCGATTTCTGATGAGTAAATATTGCTTTCTTTAATTGTTTTGAATTTGTTTTAAGCAAAACTTACAGCCCACATGTCAAATCGAAGCGACCTTGAAATAAACTAAAGCCTGTTTCAGACTTAGAGCACATAATTCAGCCAGGTTTACAATCGCTGCGTGACAATTGCTGTAAAGCTCCATTACAAAGCTACTGAAATCCCAAATGAATACTATTGCTTTATAATAATGGCCCTCAGTCGAATAAGTAACAGATGATGTTGTGAATTTCATAAAAAATTCCACTATCAGAAATCAAGACTGTCAATGAACTGTCAGACTACCTAATATCTTTGTTGTGATTTACTTCTTCACCACCATCTTGGAATTATGATAAGGTTCAACTTTTGTTAAATTGGAATTTTTTCAGTAAATGGTAAATGGTCAATCTGAAGGGAACTAATACCATCAAGCATTTTTGCTTCGATGTACCATTTGCACAAATCGTTGGTGAGCCGATTTTTGTGTAAGTGATAAACAACCCGCATATCCAGAACGCTATGAACAATAATAGGTGTTTATTGAACTACAAGTGGTACAAGGCTCAATAAAACCCAAGAGACTATGTTGTAGCTAGTAATATATATCGGTAAAGTAAATGGTCAGTTATATGAGTGTACATGCATATTTATATGCAAGCACTCAACGTTCCCACCATGTATTCCACCAAAATAACAAAATAGTTTAAATATAATGTATATGATATAGAATATTCACCTTTAATTTTGTCCTGTATTTTTTGTAACATGGTACATGTATAAAACAGTTATGCAAGCTTTCTCGAGGTTTACTGACAAATGTTGAAATAATCACTTGCATTTTCTTTGAATAAAATACCATACATAAACTGTAACAAGCAAACAGTGAAAATAAGACTTTCACTTAATATAGATGACACAACATTTGCTAAACAATGAACACAAATACTTGATAACAGAACACAGAACAATGCTTTACTGTCCTAATCTATTGTACAGCAAATAATTCATTCCCCAATCATCCAGTAAATTGTAAGTCTGCTGATAGCTTAAAGATACATGTCAGGAAGAAGCTTGACGCTTATTAATGTGCCACCAACATTAATAAACATTATTATATGGCTGTGTCTCACAAAGACTGAGAACAACCAAATTCACGAATTTGATTGGCTGAAATCGATATTGACCGCAGTCTAGATTTCCCCATCTAGACCGGCATCTGTAGACCAGTTTCATTTTGCATTGAAAAATAGCAAACTAAAATACAAAAACGTTCACCATTTTCTTTTATTTTCTTCTCAATCATTTATGGAAGTGCCAAAAAGCCTGATGACAGAAAAAAAGGTAAAGAAAACGAGCAAATTTCGGCAGGTTTAAGTTAAGTTCATCACCGTTCACAAGCAAAATGTCAGCAAACAGTTACATTAAACGAATTATAGTTTTTTTCTTTGCCATATAATAAACATCCTATTAACCAAACTAAGTCAGTCTGTATGGGAGAATCTTGACCTTGATCTTGTGTACAGACCTCACTGCATTTGGTCTGTACTCACGACCTCGGTCAAGATTCTCCCATACAGACCTCCAGCTCGGTTAATAAGAGCTAACAACAATACACAATAAACACTTCATCATTTCAAGGCTAAGAGCATGAATGAGTTGGCTCATAGAGCCCTTTGATTATTTCCAAATTTAAGTTCCTATAATATAAACAATCAATAGGCAAAGTTTGACAAAATCTCAGTGCAGGTTCTATTTCAGTGGAATGACCTTAATAAGTCAAATAATTATTCTCACATTTTGATTGGTTCTCACCTATGATCCATTAGAGGACAGACACATAGATGACGTCAATATAACAAACAGTGTCCCTCTATTTTTTTNAAACAATGAACACAAATACTTGATAACAGAACACAGAACAATGCTTTATTGTCCTAATCTATTGTACAGCAAATAATTCATTCCCCAATCATCCAGTAAATTGTAAGTCTGCTGATAGCTAAGATACATGTCAGGAAGAAGCTTGACGCTTATTAATATGCCACCAACATTAATAAACATTATTATATGGCTGTGTCTCATAAAGACTGGGAACAACCAAATTCACGAATTTGATTGGCTGAAATCGATATTGACCGCGGTCTAGATTTCCCCATCTAGACCGGTATCTGTAGACCAGTTTCATTTTGTGTTGAAAAGTAGCAAACTAAAATACAAAAATGTTCACCATTTTCGTTTATTTTCTTCTCAATCATTTATGGAAGTGCCAAAAAGCCTGATGACAAAAAAAAGGTAAAGAAAACGAGCAAATTTTGGCAGGTTTAAGTTAAGTTCATCACCGTTCACAAGCAAAATGTCAGCAAACCAGTTACATTAAACGAATTATAGTTTTTTTCTTTGCCATGTAATAAACATCCTATTAACCAAACTAAGTCAGTCTGTATGGGAGAATCTTGACCCCGATCTTGTGTACAAACCT